CTTACTTAGGTCACACGAGCATCATTGAGTGTTCTCATCTTCTTTAAAGCTATGTGTGTGCCAGAGCTATGTATGAGGAAAACCAAGTTGATTGGATTCATGTTGGGTTTGTGATTATTGCCAAACCTGAAATGGCTCAAAGGATACAGAGGAAAAACTACAATAAATTTTGAGTCTGAGTTCTGATTTGATCTTTTACCATTGCTTTTCTAGACATTCACTACAAACATAATTTTATTTAACCTCCTTCCATTCAGGTTTTGAGCCTCTTATTTTAATTTTTTTCCTCAACATGTGTAGCTATGTCCTTGGAGAGTTTGTAGAGGTCCCATAAGAGACAATTAGGAGACAGAGGAGCCCTGATTTGGATTAACACTTGAATGGCAACTTTGCTAACAATGGTTCCACTAATGCACATACACCACGCTGTATCTTGTACCTTAAGGGTAGAGTCCACCTGTAATCCATGTCTTTACCTAGAATCTATAAGCCCAACATGTCTGCTGGGGGCTTTTCCTTCGAATTTACCTCTCCAGAATGCTTTGCTCCCAAATATCCACATGCCCAACTTTTTTAGTTTCCATTAAGCCTTATTGAGAGGCTACTTTCTCAACTGGCTTTACACCGAATTTCTTCAAAATAGCAGACCACTTCCCACTACTTAGTCAAGGGTGACCATTTTGCCTTAGCTTTCTAGGACTCTTCTTATTTTAATATTGAAAATTCTACACCCCATGAACTGCATTGGATATAGTCTCTTAGTGGTCCCAAGATTCCACCTATCATCTATCCATCTACCTTTCTACCCATCCATATATCCACCCATATAACATAGTCTGTTATCTATCTATCTATCTATCTATCTATCTATCTATCTATCTATCTATCTATCTATCTGTGTCTATCTATCTATCTATCTGTATCTATCTATATCTATCTATCTATCTATCTATCTATCTATCTATCTATCTATCTATCTATGTATATATCATCCATCCACTCATCTGCCCACCACCTTTATTTTGAACAGACTTCCATTCCACAAAAGTAAGCTTTCTTCTTCTTCTTCTTCTCCTCTTCCTCCTCCTTCTTCTTCTTTTTCTTCCTCTTCTTCTTCTGTATTCCCCTATCCCCATATCAGCAATCCTAGGGCCCCCAAATAAATCTCAACGAGTATTGTTAAATGAATGAAAAAAATCTATATGTCAGGGCAGATTAGTAAAAATGAGAATAGAAAGGCCATGTTGACACTGCCTGTCTGTCCAAATAGCTACCAAAATTATGTCTTGATCCTTATCATTTTCACAAGTCATACTCACAGGTACCCCCTGTGAGACAGAGATTCTAGAGCAGGAAATGCAAAGTCTTATACACAATCAGTTTGAACTGAAAATTGAGATTTAGGTAATGAAAATGCTGATTCGTGTCAGAAATGTCCCTCAGGATGATCAGATTGGGTAGGCCCTTTCAGTCCTGCTCTAGGCTGTGGAAGACACAGATAGAAACATAAGGCCAGGAAACAATGTGTCTGCAAGTGTGATGGACCTGGTGTGGCATCTGGTTTTACAGGAGGCACAGAACAGGAACCACCTGTGCTCCGAGGTGGAAATGCCGTTGGCCAAGCTGTGCTCAGACATTTCTACATTGAGCATATAGGTGAAAGCTGTCTAGTGAAAAGTCAGCAGCAGAAAAGAAACCTAACAGACTGCAAAGGTTACTGGATGGCATCAGATTGAGTGCTTTGCCTGGATCCGTTCCTACAGTGCTTGTCATTCTCTCTATGTTGTGATCACAGTTGCATTGTCATGTTTGTTTGTTGTTCCTGTTGGTGGTTATTTTTAAGTGTGTGTGTGTGTGTGTGTGTGTCTGTGGTGTATTACATTGTGTGTGTGTATGTGGTGTGTGTATGTGTGTATGTGCTATGTGTAGTGTATGTGTTTGTGTGGTGTGTGTTTGTGTGTGATGTGTGTGTTTGTTTCTGTTTGTGTGTGTGTGTGTGTGTGTGTGTCTGTGTGTGTGTGTGTGTGTGTTCGAGTGCGTGTGTGTGAGTGTGTGTGTGTGTGTGTGTGCGCATGTGCTATGTGTAGTGTATGTGTTTGTGTGGTGTGTGTTTGTGTGTGATGTGTGTGTTTGTTTCTGTTTGTGTGTGTGTGTGTGTGTGTGTGTGTCTGTATGGTGTGCATGTGTGTCTGCATCTTTCTCAATCACTGTCCACCATATTTTTTTTTTTTTTTACTTTTTTCAATTTAAATTAAATTAAATTGTTTTACATGTCAATTCCAGTTCCCTCTCCCTCCCCTCCTCCCCTGACCCCCCCAGACTCCCCATCCCATCCCCTTTCTGCTCCTCAGGGAGGGTGAGGCCTTCCATTCGGGAATCTTCAGAGTCTGTCATATCCTTTGGAGCAGGGCCTAAACCCTCCCCCATGTGTCTAGGCTGAGAGTCTATCCCTCTACATGGAGAGGGCTCCCAAAGTCCATTCGTGTACTAGGGATAAATACTGATCCACTACCAGAGATTAACCAGATCTCCAAACTGACATCCTCGTTTATGGGGTCTGGAACAGTCCTATGCTGGTTTCCCAGCTATCAGTCTGGGGTCCATGAGCTCCCCCTTGTTCAGATCAGCTGTTTCTGTGGGTTTCTCCAGCCTGACCACCATATTTTTTGAGTCAGGGTCTCTCACTGAAGCTGGAACTCGGCAATTCTGCCAGACTGGCTGGGCACCAAGCCTCAGAGATCTCCCTGTCCCCACTGGACTGGTGACAGAATTATAGACAGGTGCCACCACACTTGGCATTTTCACTAGTGTGCTAGGGAGTTAACTAAAGTCCCCATGTTTGCACAGCAAGCATTGAAAGACTAAGCCATTGCCTCAGCCCAAGTTTCTTTTAAGTTAGATTCCAGTCCTAAGGCTACGGGTTAACTTTTACAATTCCCTCTGGCTTTCTCATTTAATTTTCAGCTGTCTCTCCCCCGTACCATCTTCTGCACTCAACCAATCATCAGGCCTTATCCATTGTATTCCTGAACAACTGTTTTTGACCATGGTCTCTTTTCTATGGTTCTCTCCTCATCCATTCTTGATGCCTTTCCATAATTATCATAATTCTGTTCATCTGCCCCCACCTTTTCTCATCAAGGTTGCTCTTTGCTCAGCTGCATGGCCTCCTGGGTACTCCATCACTCTCCAGAACGAAGTCAGCGCTCCTGGAGAAGACCCCCATTGCCCACCTCATGCCTTCTCCCTGTTTCTCAGAGTCCTGGGCTCCACCAATGTGAGCTCTGAGTTGGTATGGGAGTGCCAGCGTTTCCTTCCTTGTCGAAGGAGTAACATGCTGGAGCATTAGGGTAAGCCACAGCCTCGTGGCAATACACAGATTAATAGAAATGGGTTAATAATTAAGAGAGGACTAGCCAATGTGTTTATTTGGGACTGAAGGGCTGCAGGACCTGGTGGGACAGAAACCTCCATCCATAAATGGCTGCAGGGCTTCACGGGGATCAGCTTTACAGCAGCAGGAACACTCACCTTCCACCTTTTTTCCTCTTCTCAAATGGAAAATCTTGTACTTCAGTACGTCAACACACTCCTCAGCTACAATGGAAATTTCCATATAGTGCCAAGGCCATGCTCCTGAGGATTCTCCTCCTCCTCCTCCTCCTCCTCCTCCTCCTCCTCCTCCTTTTTTTTTTTTTTAATTCCCTTTGGACCACTGTGATGGACTCTTGGCGGCTGTCCCAGCACACATAATTAGCCCCCTTCAGATGGGATGAAATGTTGCTGTAGAACCCTATTCAACATTGGATCAAATAACTACATAACTCTGGTTTTCATGTCATCAGAGTTAGAGATGGAAAATAATTATTGGTTTCTCAATGAGTCTGTTCCTCTTGGGATCTGGGGCAAAATTGTTCCCTTTGGGCATTTTGTCGGCCCACTAACTTTAAATGAAGAACCAACAGGTCTCTGCTATTTCCTTTGGGAGATCCTTTTGCTGTCAAGTAGAAGTGATTTTTTAGAAAAAAAGAAGAGGAAAAGTCTTCCTTCAGTTTATATTAGGTTTTCCTTATAGTCTCTGCCTAGCTGAATCCTGAAGTGCCTACACTTGCTGGGCTGTATTCTGCAGAGGGAAGTGAAGACCCACAAAGGCATAGCCTTCATAGTGACCCATTAATAACAATCATTTAGGAATGAGTTGTTCCTTTCTTTACACACTTTAAAATTTAACTTCTTTAATGCAAGTGTGTGTGTGTGTGTGTGTGTGTGTGTGTGTGTGTGTGTGTGATTTCCTGCCCAAGTTAATGTATACACCACAATCTGATTATATAGGGATCAGGTCCAAACAAATGATTTCTGGGGTCTGGGAGCGAATTGCTGTACACTCAAAATGTTTGTTTGGATTTGGCCATCATTTGCAGTCTGCAGTATTCCAGTGAAAGGCTTTGACTGGGGATGATTTCACAGGAGGAAGCCAAGGATGTTGCCTGGCTACTTAACAGGGATTGTTATTGCTTTCTGGGTTGATGTCGCTATTCTCCGTTAAAATAACCTGGAAAGTTTCAGTGGAGGCCTAGCTTCAGGAAATGTTTTCCCCACTTTACCTTCTCATAGTCTACATGCAGCAGGGAGGATTTAGCTCAAAGGAAGTCAGGGTTCTGGGAATCAAAGCCAATTGGACTACAATTCAAAAACCCAAATCTCCTGCTTTCTACTTGTGAAATATCAAAGACATTTGGCATTTCCAAATCTCTGATTTCTCATGTATTTTTGGGAAACAGTAATGTGATACTCGCATGGTTGTTGCAGGGAGATGAACTGATGTAACCCGTGGTGTGTCTTGGTGCACTGTGCATACCCAACACAATTTATATTTCTTTTTTCTTTCTACCAAGAAGACTATCATATGGCCCAAGTTGATATGGACAGACTGATAAGTATTGTGAGCACCTAAGACAAATTTAATATGCCTTTCATGGAGATAGGGAGCCACAGCAATGTTATATTTAATATTTAATAAATTACATTAAATAAAAAGTTCCACGTAAGTCCAATACACATCTGCTACTCCTAACGCTGTCACTTAGTAATCTGTGAAATCTGTTTAATAGCCTCCTCTTGACCTATAAAGCCCTTTAAATTTTTTTTCTTTCAATGTACATAACTGTGTTCTCAAATATTACTCGAGGCACCTCAGCTGTGCCTGCTGTGTGAGTAATATGTAAATGTGGCATACTAGAACAGCATTTCAGACATTCTCAAGGCTTTTTGCCTCCCCTCTTGCTTGCAATTAATTGATCAACAACATTAATTAAGTTTTCAGAGCAAGCAAAGTGCATCCGTGTGGAAGGGATATTAAGTGCTATGCAAGCCTGTAGAAGTGTGGTGCCATCTGCCCGGACCAGTCTCTCAAACTTCCACTATTCCCCAGGATATTTTGTTCCCAGTTTAAAAAAAAAATTTTTTTAAGATAAACATACATGCTTATATAAGCACACCGTATTATTTTTTGTAATAGAAACCACTCTGAAAACAATTTATTTGTCTAGCAGGAAGGATGTTTAAATAAATTACCATACAAATCATAAATTATCCAAGCTGCATTTTGAGGTCTCAGAAGCTGCATTATTTGGTTTATACTACTTGATGTCCCTCTTTGTTGTGAAAATATTCAAAGGCAATGGAGTCTGAGAATTTAGGATGTAGATCTGGTATAGGCTGTGGCCAGGAAGGCCCAGTGCACATAACCTGGAGTATTTCAGGTCTGCAAAAATCAGACTGATCAAATTCCCGGGGGAGGAAGTGAATTCTGCAATGACGGCCTGTGGATCACTCTCCTGTGTTTCAAGCTATGCTGTGATTCTGAGTAAGGAGCCTGCCCTCTTTTCACTAATTTATTCCTTTAAAAATATTGTGGGCTTAGTGTCTTCATATTTTTAAAACATCCTGATTCTTTAAAAAAAAAACAATGTTTTTAATTGAAATAGAATTACATCACTTTCTTCCTTTCCTCTCCTCCCTCTCACCCCTTCTATACCCCCACTCTCAAATTGATAGCTTCTTCTTCTTCTTCTTCTTCTTCTTCTTCTTCTTCTTCTTCTGCTTCGTCTTCTTCTTCTTCTCCTCCTCCTCCTCCTCCTCCTTTCTTCATTTGCTTGTTTTTATACATGTGTGGAATTCTTTTAACAGCTCTCTATAAAAGATGGAAAACAATGATTATTTTCAGGGGTGTCACTAAAACCTAGGGGCCCATCAAACTCATGGCAATCTTCCTACATGCTAGGATCACCAGAGTGCCCAGCCCAGTAAGGCAGAGCAGAGTGAACTGGGGTGGAAGAAAGCTGTTCCCACAGGCATGTGGGTATTTTAACCTGTTTCTACCCAGAACAGGCTCTGATTCCTTTAAAAGAAGTACCCCAGCAGTATTAATTTGGTTACCTTTACATACATTTACATACATTTGCATTAATATCCACAAAGCCCTTCTCCGGATATGCAAAATTAAATACCATTAACTAATTAGTGCTCCCTCTGTCAACTGTATTCAAGCTTGAGATGGAAAGTGTGAAAGTGGCTGAAACACGTGAAGTCCCTGAGTCAATCAGTGCTTATCCCAGCTTGGAGGAGATGCAAGAGGGAGCTTCAGAACCTGTACACAAAGGAGAATGTCAGCTATAGGTTTCTTTATATTTGAAACAGGAAACAAGGCCATGCCCCCCATGTATCCCTGCCCACCCCCACCCCCACTTCCTGTGCAGAAAGTACCCTGTCACAGAGGCTTGAAGGACACAGATCAATCAAACTTTCAGAGAAAGCTTTCCAAAAATTTTAACCATGATTTCAGCTATGTCCCAATCTTACAAAACAAGAAGCACAATGCAGTGTGGAGGCAAGGAATAGGAAAAGTCAATGGTGGTGGGATTTGCTGTGTGAGAAGACACACACACACACACACACACACACACACACACATAAATAAAAGAGGAAGGAAGATGGGGGCACAGGAGTTGTGGGTGATGAGGGAAACAGGTTTGAATTGTGGATTGCTACTACCATGGCTGGCCACACACATTCATTCTCTGGAGTAATCATGAAATGTAGAGAGAAAATGCAAAGCAAGGAAGGATAAACACTTTGGTGGAAAAGGACATTTAATAGGAAGAAATGTCTATAAAGGGGTTTAAAAATAACTTTTCCTTCTCGAAAATCTGCTGTTTCTTTACAGATCTCAGCTCAGAGCAAGGTTCCCTTTGTCCTGGACTTCTCTGTTTTCTGAACTCAAGATTAAACACACACACACACACACACACACACACACACACACACACACACACACACCTTGGAAGCAATTAATAAGCAGCTTGTATAACACCCACATGATGAGCACTGTCCAGTAGCAGCTAAATTCAGTGAAGTAGACGAATGTATTAACAAGGAAAACAAAGTTCCAAAATGTTTAATGGGAAAAAAATCCTTCAGGATGATGCAAAATTCCAGAAACATATCATGCATTGAAAGATTAAAATCCAGAGTTAATAATTTTCATGAAAAATCGTAAATAGCAAATGCATGATATAGAGTATCTTTAGGGAGATAGTAAGGAGAACACAACTGGGTTGAGGTGTGTGGAAGAGAAGACATTTCTGTTTGTAGTTTTGTGTTGCTGCCTTTCTTCTCTGTTAGAAACAGAAAATTTCCCAGCATTCTAAAAGGACTCATGGCTACCTAAAGATGTAATTATTTTTTCCAGCTTCCCTTGCAGCTATGCATGGTCACAGGACTAAATCCTTGCCAAGGTAATGCAATGAAAATGTTCCATTTCTTTAGAGGAAACTTGTTTTAGTTCTCTATCCCTTCTCCCATGTGCTAGAATATGGATGAACTGCTAGTAGTCCAGCCTCAACTCTCAGCCCACAAATGTTATCCAAACGGAATTTAAGAGTCTAGTTTATATTCCCATGGTTTGTCTCTCTCATCAATTCACTCAGCAAGTAATTACTGAACACATACTATGTACGGCAACCTAAGTGAGGTATTAGGGACATGGTGGTAAGGAAGCTCCTGATGGAGCATGTGTTTGATCCTAAAATCTCTGCACTTGAACTTGCTCATGAGCAGCCTCTGTGTCCCTTCTCTGTGTGTGTGTGTGTGTGTGTGTGTGTGTGTGTGTGTGTGTTCATGTGTGTGGGGTGAGTATGCATGCATGTATGCAGGTGTGTAGGCACACAGCATGTGGGTATGAGTGCCTGTAGGTGCACATATATGTGGAGGTTGATTCTAAAATCATCCTCAATTGCACTTCTACCTTATTCAATGAGAAGCAGGATAGCTCAGACCGACCCAGAGCTCACCAAAGCAGCTGGTTTCACTAGCCTGCTTCCTCCTGGGATTCCTTGTCTCAGAGTTTTACCTTGTGAGGTTGGAATTACAGGCAGCTGCCCCACCTATCTGGTATTTATATGGGCTCTGGGAATCCCAACTCCAGTCCTCACACTTGGAAGGACTTAACTACCGAGCTTTCCCCAGCCCAGTTTCTATTTTTATTCTAAACTTAACTCGTGTTGAAAGAACACTGCCCAGGGGCACTGATTTCCACTGATTCAACCCAATTAAAACAATTCAGACTGAGTTTTTGAGGAGGACTTTTGGGAGTTTTTTTTTTTTTTCAAGAGTTTTAAAGTTTGTTCTGATTCTTTAAGAAGGTATTTGATTATTAAGAAATACGTAACACACAAAAGTGAGTAAAAGTCGTCTGAATGGAGAAGAATAAGAAAAATGAGCAGTAAAGAGTCTATGAAAGAGTGAGAAGTGACCGGTTACGAGAGACTTATCAGGTAGTATACATCTCTCAAGTACCACCCCAGCCATCGATACTGTTGGGTGCATGATTTGATTTATGTGGTAGTAACCAATTAATTTTTACTGTTATATTTTATTTTAATCAGGTGAACATTGTCGTAGGGTTTCTGTTGTGGTGATAAATACCATGACTGGAAGCAACCCTGGGGAAAAGGTGTTGTTTCAGCTTCCATGTCTTGATCACACTCTCACTAAGACAAGCCAGTGCAGGAACTCAAGGCAGGTACCTGGAGGCGGGAGCTAAAGCCATGAAGGAGTGCTGCTTACTGGCTTGCTGCTCATAGCTTACCCAGTCTATCTACTTTCTTACACAACTCAGGATGACCAGCCTAGGAATGACACCACCCGCAGTAGGCTGGACCATTCCACATCAATCATCCATCAAGAAAACATGTCACAGACTTGCCTACAGGCCACTATTACAGAGGGAGGCATTTTCTTAACTGAGGTTTGCTCTTTCTCACATAACTGGCTTGTGCCGAGTTGACATAAAACTAGCTGGCAAAAATATATTGCAGTTTGTTTATTTCTCTGCAGAGGGTCAGTGAGGTCATTTTCTGTTGACGGCTGTGAAGAGCAATCTTGTGAAAGATCATTTCCCTTGCAGGTTAGAGTTTCTCCCAGGTATTTAGGAAGTGCTTAGGAATAGAGTCCTAGGGGTGTGGGGCCTGTCTGCCCAATCCTGCTTCCTAACAAACGTCAAGCTAACTCTGGCCAGGTGGTTGGATGTCTTTAGATTGTCACCAGCAGTGTGTAAGAGTCAACACTTTGACTTTGCTGAAATTGTAATGTTTCCATTTAAATGTTCATGGACTACTTTCTTATTGTGGTTCTAATTTATGGTTTTGTATCCCCCCTTTTCTTTTTTTCTGATCACCTTAAGGTTAGGCAGCTTTGCACATAAACTGGGTCATTTGTGGTACCTTATCTATGAGATGCCCGTGTTTTCCCTTTTCAAAGTCGTGTGTGGGGGAGCATGTGTGTGTGAAGTGCGATTTTTGTGTCCACTTTCCCTTTTCAATTCTGGGATTTTGTCTGGTTTGAACCTGTGTTTGGGTCTTGTGTGTGCTGTCAGTCTCCATGAGGGGATAGGTACATCAGGCCTATTGTGTCTGGAAGCCAAAGTCAGTTTTTATTTTAATATGATGACATGTCTTTATATTATGGGGTTTATTGTTAGGGAAAATCTCTGTACTTTGAGGTTTAAAAGCATTCTATATCTTATCCTACAGTTTCCATGATTTGACCTTTCGAATTTGTCTTACATCTAAAAGCAGTAACTGATTTTTATATACAATAAGGGTTAATCATTAAACCTATTTATTGTCTTGTAGATAACCAATTATGTTCTTCAGAACAGTAGGGCAGGGAGCAGGGAGAACAAGGCTGAACTGTCATGACCCCTCCTACTGATCTCTAATTCCTGCTTCAGATTTTTTGAATGAGATTATTTTAGAGTTCAAATTTGTTCATTACTCATCTTATATAATGCCAATAATACACTGTCCCTTTATAGGGAAGTGCTTAGGAATAGAGCAGGCCCATCTCTCCAATTTTATCCTCCAAAGGTCATGACATGCATCCTATAGGCTCAGGCCAGCACCTACTTCACACTTGCCACAGGTCTGGGCCTGGTGTCTTCCCAGCAAGTGAGCTGTGTTCTCAGCCCTGAGCTTCTTCAGCCAAAACAGGCAAAGCATCAGCTCTTTCTCTACCTGTTTTTCTACTCAGGGCACTGGTTAGGGATCGTCAATCTGACACAATGCTCAGGGTGCTGGTTAGGGATTGTCAACCTGACACAATGCTCAGGGCACTGGTTAGGGGTTGTCAACCTGATACAATACTAAGCTGCTGGTTAGGGGTTGTCAACTGACACAATGCTCAGGGTGCTGGTTAGGGATGGTCAACCTGACACAATGCTCAGGTTCTGGTTAGGGGCTGTCAACCTGACATAATGCTCAGGGTGCTGGTTAGGGGCTGTTCAACCTGACACAGGCTAAAGTCACATGGGAAGAGAGGCCCTCAATTGAGCCACTGCCCAGATGGTAAGTCTTTGAGAAATTGTATTGGTTGATAACTGATGTGGGAGGGGCCCTGGCCACTGTGGGAAGCACCAGTCTTACATAGGTAGTCTGGGCTATAGAAGGAAGCTAGCTGAGCATGGGCCAGAGAGTAAGCCATCCAGTGGTGCTCCTCCATGGTTTCTGTCTTCTGGGTCCTTGAGTCCTGCCTTGATGTCCCTCAGTGACAGACAGTGACCTGGAAGTGTAAGGTAAAGTGCAATCCTAATTAGTCTTAATAATAAAAACCTAGAGTCGGATATCAGGGTAAAAGCTGAAAGATAGAGAAGTAAAGGACCAGGCACAGTCACTGCTTACCTCGACTAAGATCCTCACTACGCCCAGCCTTATCACTTCCTGTCTGTCTTGCAGACCTCCAGACATCTATGGTTAACTAGTGGCTAGCTCTACCCTGTGATCTCCAGGCAAGCTTTATTTGTCAGAACACGAAACACCACAACAATAAGGTGAAATAAATCCTCTCATCTAAGTTGCTTTTGGCTAAATTATTCACTCACAGCAACAGAGGGAAACAGAGACTGGTGCCGGAAGTGGGGGTGTTTCTGGGATGAACCTGACCACATCACTTAAGAAATACGTGTATAATTATATACATTGTGGGAAAGAAATACCTTTAGATAGAAACAATGAAAGCGCAGTCATGACAGATTGATTTAAGGAGCAAACAGATCCCTTCCCATTTGCAGGAAGAGTTAGGGGAGGTTGAAGGGGCTACCATCTGGCCCATATTAGCTTAGGATGGCTCACCCACACTCCGGAACCTCCCTGAGGGAGAGAGAAGGGGTAAATACTGAGAGTGAGCTCATTATGTAAGTGAAGTTACATGTTGGATGTTCATAGCTGGGGTAAATCTTAGTTGCCTGAAGCAATTGTACAATGGTTTTTGAGCTAGTTTTCCTATCTTCAGGGGCTTTGTGATCATATTCCACAATTATTACTACCTTTCCTCACAGCCCTGGGGGAAAAGAAAAAAAATGGGTAGGATGGTCTCGTGGTGAGGAAGGTTTGATAAAGCGTGTTACACAAAAACAAGAAGAAAGCAGGGATTAGTCATTTGGGATTATTAGTATCCATGAAGGCTGGATAAAGTTTTGCTTTTTTTTTTTTTTAGGAGGAAAGATCTTGCTTCTTGGTATTTATGCCGAAGTACATAAAGAATGCTGGGGAGCCCTCGTTCTCAAAAACTAAGCAGGCTTTTAGCTGTTGGGATCCCATAAAACTCAAAAGGACAAATATGACCTACACTTGTTTTGCTGAAGCCAATTTTCACAACCTGGTATTTAAGTTGAGCTCAGGGACATTTGAGTAATCCCACAGGCTCTCTGGGCTCTGGTATTCATCTGCATCTTAGTTTTCTGCTTGGGGATTTTGGATCACAACTGCCAACCTGGGAAAACCACATCACTTACACGAGATTAAGCAGTCCCTAATTAGTTTTCCTGACCCTCTTGTATACCAATAAATGGCCCATTTACAGGACATTAAAACAGAATTCTTTCCATTAAAAATGACTTCCTTGCTAGTGAACAAGACCTAGGTTTAACACACATGTTAGTTAACATGAGGTTGTCCTAATGTACAGTGGACACTTTCCAGTGGGAAGTGATTGGAGGACTAATTAGGATTCTTGGCTCGGTCAATTAACTGGGAGGGGAGTCTCTCTACGGTGATGTAAATATTGCTTATATTCTTAGTTTGTTTTGGGCCTATTACGTTTTGAACCAAAGAGCTAGAGACTGAAGTGAAATCCTATTACAAGCTTTGGAAAATGATGAGCCTAAAAAGGCATTTTATATGACATCATCAGGTCAGTTTTAAAGTTTTATTTAGATATGCAAATGCAGTAGCCACTTCTTTTGGATTCTGACGCACACCTCATCCTATCGAAAGCACTGTGAGTCCCTTGGTGTGCATAGTAGGCATCTCATGATTAGTCTAGGGAACTGCACTATTTTGAGGGGTGATTGCTGTTTATAGCACTAAGTCTGTTTTGCCTAAGAAAGCCAATTACAGAACAGTGAGAACATATGTAGAGAAGAAAGAGCTTAGCTAGGAGGGCGAATCTCCACTTCCCCTTCCTAAGGGTGTTTGTGGGGTAAAGAAAAAGGGTGGTATGGGCATTGAGAAAGGTATTTACAAGTGAGAGAAAGCAAGATTTGATGTCAGCCGGGGGAGGGGGGTGGTATCTGTGGCACCTTTCTATACCCGTGCTTTGAAATGCCCCAGCTAAGCACATTTTGTAGGTGACTGTTTGCTCTTCAGCATCCAAACACTGTCACTGGACATTTGCACAGGCCTGGGTGGTGGATTTTTGGTTTCAAATCAGGTTGGAACTCCCTTTGAGTTCCTGAAAGCAATTAAGCAGCCGTGATGATTTCGACCCAGTCACTTGGGAGTCATTTCCAGGTGGGTGAGTGGCCTTGTTTTGTGGCTGCCGTTCCTAGCCAGATTTCCACACCAGCAGGTCATAAGTCAATATGAGTTACAGTAAAGGATGGGGGAGGTGACTCTGAAGACTCTCGGGAACCCGGGTTCCTGACCAGGAAAAGAAGGATGCCCCGAAGGAAGGGGATTCCTTGTCTTTGGTGTGCTGTGGGAACTTAAATAGGCAGCCGTAGCCATGACTTTGACCTGAGGTGTCCCAAGAAAGCAAAACACCAGTTTGGTTTCTACATAGGGAAACTAGAATAGGTGAGTGAAGAAAGAGATACAAATTTCAATATGACCATAGGACCAATTCAAGCAGTTGGCTCTCTGCAATATTTTGAACATGAAATACCCTCAAAGTCATACACACACAGGCATGTGTTGCTGTTTGATTCCAGCTGGTGGCACTATTTATGATGGTGATGGAAATGATAGGCTACAGGGCCAACGTGGCTGAGACAGGCCACTGGAGCAGTGTCCACAGACCCTTGCTTGACCTCGCCTGGCTGCTCTAAGTTGGGAGAACCGCTATCACTATCTGTTCTCTTGCCATGGTGTTCTGCCCAAGCGTCTAGGACCAGGTGAGCTGGATCTGAACCCTGTGAAACTGTGAGCTGAAATGTGTCTTTCCTCTCTTAGATCATCCCCTTTGGGTGTCCAGGTCACAGCAAGTGATAACTACTTTCTGTGTTCCAGAAAAAGAAACAGGTAGGATCTTGTGAGACTGGACAAGTAGCTCTCCTGTGGAGAAGATTTGAAGGTATCTTAATAATATAAGAGAGCTTTCTAATGTTGGTGGGCTAGAACATAGCTGCACAGCACTGGGTACACTTTGTAAGACTCAGAAACTCTGTTCTGGTGACCTATAAATAAAGTACTCTAGAGGTGGGATCAGAAATTCAAGGTTATTTTCAGTCACACAATGAGTTTGAGGCCAGCTTGGGATCACAAGGCATGTTCTAAGGAAAAACAAAACAGCACAAAGGAGAAAGGAAGAAGGAAAGAAAGATTGAAGATGGCTCTATCTTCTACAAAGAGATACTTTACAGACAACATCTATAGAAACTCAGTCAATCCTTTACCTGTTTTCTCCATCTGTAGCCAAACCAAGAACCTCTTCCCTGCAATAGATCAGTGGTACTCTGGTGTAGTCTAGTCAAGATCCAGACGACCCCGAGCTCTGAGTCATTATTGTCCTTCCGTGATTGCTCTGCTGGCAGGGGTGTGTTCACTGGAAAGTGATCTTTCCAGTCACGCATGGCACATGCATTCTGTGCTCCCTTGAGTAGCAGCATCACAGCCCTGATTGTGGTTTGGTGTGTGGTCCATGAATCACACTTTGTGCTTGGACAACAGAAGCACAACCCCCTTCTGGAGCCCAGCAGAGAGAACCAGCTGTTCAAACTCTGGCCCTGTCAAGGGGCAGAAACTGCTCCAGGTTCACTCCTGGTGAATGTTGCTTTGTTTCCAGAGTAAACTCAGCCCACCACTGTGTATTTCCAAACAGTAGTAGAAGAAGGGCTCCATCTCCTCCATCTTCCCAGACCTACAGGAGCTCAGTTTCAATATTCAGCTTCATGCTCAACTGGCACAGATTGGCAAGCCATGCCTGAAAGTCACCATCATCTTTGGGTTTTGCCATAGTTAGTATGTATTTTTCCTCCAAGTTGTGTGCATGCCCTTCAGGTTGCTTTCCTTCCAGCAGTCTACAGAGAGGCTGCAGATAAGGTTTCTGTGTGCCTCCCCACTCATCACAACATTTTCCATCCGTCCTGATTCAGTTCTAAGCCTCTCTTGATTAAAGGATCTTTGTTGTACTCTTAAGTTTTTTGATTAAAATGGAATTAAATTGTAAATCAATTCCACTATTTTCCCCAATGTCTTTCATCTCTCCAGCTCTTTCCATATGAACATCCCATCACATGCTGCCTAATTCATGGCCTATCTATCTATCTATCTATCTATCTATCTATCTATCTATCTATCTATCTATCTATCATCTCCTGCTCAACCACAAGGACATGTTTAAAGAAAGCAACAGCAATAACCAACCAACCCTCTGACCACTGAGTAGACTTGAAGTTATAGGATGTTGCTATGATGATGGTTACTCTGATAGACAGGATTATATATTAGCCTATGCCTGCTTGAGTTGTTCTGTACCAACCCAATTCTCACCTTCTGTCTTTCTTTCTGGACAGAGAAACCCCCAAAATATCCCAGCTGGTCACAAGCCTCTACCATAGACAGTCTCTTGGTCGAATGATGCTTCCAATTGGATTAGTCTCATCAGGAGCAAGGATGTGTGTCCTGGGACCCAAGTTTCAAAGCATCTACATGGTGAGAACCAATGCTATGTGGGGGACTTTGGTTTTCAAGCTGTTCGGGAAAGGAGTTGCTGCTGAAAAGGAGATTCTCATCTCATTCAGTCACATGAAGTCTGTTCTGGAAGTCAGGCTTATATCTCTTTACAGAATAATGCAGTAGACAAGATGAATGCTCTATTGGTGTAAAGCAGGCCCCTGAACATGGGAGTACACAGGTTGGAGAATGTGACATTTCAATGTTCTTCTGATGTTCCTGTGTGGCAGAAGAGCGCCATTGTTTCTCTCTGTGTTAAAGACGTCCTTATCCATTCATTCAGTCTGCTACAACAAAACCCTGGAGGCAGGAGCCTTCTAACCTATGGACTCTCATTTCTTACAGGCCCTGTAGGCAGAAGGTCAATGAAATCCCACAAGGATGCACCATAAATATACACAGTAAATATCATTTTATACACCCCAGTATAGGCCATATACTTATTTTCTGGAGAGCAGTGAAAGGTAAGTACAAAAGGCTCCAGACAAACACGAATTCTGAGCTCATGTGAGGTTGAAGCCAAATCACTCAGGTCAAAGGGACAGTCTACAGAGGAAGGTAGAAGAACAAGTCTAACTGGGCCAATGCTGACTCACAGAGGGTCCTGTGGGTTCATGCAGCCAAGCTGGGGTCACCTGTCGAGTCTCCTGAAAGTATATCTGAGGTGGATAGATAGGCTACAATGTTGGCAGAGGCCCATCGTTGGTTCTGTGACCTGTGGTGTAGAATCTATTAGGATAGGAAGGACGCTTCGGGAATTTGTGTATTTGCCCCCATCGTTTGGCTAATAGAGTGAGTCAGCAGGAATGTTCTATCCCCAAATGAATCACAGAGACTGGCACTTGTATTAGCTACTTTTTCTTGTTGATGTTTCAAGATCCCTGACTGAAGCAATTCAGGAACGATCCATTTTGTCTTCGAGGTAAAAGGGATACAGTTTGTTATGGTGGAGAAAGAATACAGCCGGAGAATGGGGTAGTTATTCTTACTGTTTCTACAGTCACTAAGCAGAGAGAGGTGAATTCTTGCTTTCTCCTTCTTCCCTTTTTTATTCACTTCAGGATGCCAGCCCATTGGATGATACCACTATGCACAAGGTGGGTCTTCCTGCCAAAGTAAATCTCTGTAGAAATGACAACACAGACAACTCAAAGATGTCTCTGCTAGGTTATTTTAAATGCAGTTGGCTGACAATGAAGGTATGTATTACACTAAACTTAAGGGCGTGAAGGCAGTCTCCTCGTGTCTCCACTCTCCCCCTGTTCTGCTTGCCCCTTCACCCTCTGCAGATAGAGGACACAAGAGGATCACTGCACATTTAATATCCCCGTGCCTGTGTACATGACATATGCAGACGGTCTCCAAGCCAGAAGCCACTGGGTTTGTACACTGCACCAGAGACTGGAGACAGTGAGAATAATACTAGGAAAATGAGGAAAGACCATCTGGGGTAGATGTTCGAGAGGGGCACAGGTGACCAAGTGTTTGTTTCACACGTGGGAGGCCACCAGAAACCATCTGCTTCTGCAGAAGCCACAAGAACCCAGGTGGGTGTGTGGCTTTGTTTTATCTTTGTTTTTGCTTTTTGGGTTTTTTGAGACAGGGTTTCTCTGTGGCTTTGGAGGCTATCCTGGAAATAGCTCTTATAGACCAGGCTGGTCTCGAGCTCACAGAGATCTGCCTGCCTCTGCCTCCCGAGTGCTGGGATTAAAGGTGTGCGCCACCACCACCCAGCAAAAAACTGTTAGTGCTCTCATTTCTAGCTGGATTTCCACACCAGAAGGTCATCAGGGAAGATGTGTTACAGTAAAGACTGGGGGAGGTGACTCTGCAGACTCTCAGGAACCTGGGTTCCTGACCAAGAAAAGAAGGATGTCTCGAAGGAAGGGGATTCCTTGTCTTCACTTGGGCCTTTGGTGTACTGTGGGAATTTAAGCTGGCTATTGTAGGCACCATCTTGGCAAGTGACTGGAGACCTTCCCAAGGGCACGATAGACCTCTTGAGGGCAGAAACACCATCAGTCAGATTTCTGCATAGGGCAATTAAAATGGGTAAGTGAGGAAAGGGATTTGTATTTCAATATATCCAAAGGACATGTTAAAGAAGTTGGATCTCTGAAACATTTTGAACATCAAATAGTCCCACAGGCATACACACAGTCGCGTGTTGCTGTTTCGTCCAGGCTGGTGGCAGCATTTTTGGTAGTAATGGATACTTTGGGAGGTGGGGCCGAGACAGGCCACTGGAGTGGGGGCCACAGACCAATGTTTGCTCTGCCCTCATTCCTGTCTGCTGTAAGGCTGCTGGGAAGCTCAATCTCTACCTACTTCTATTGATGCAGTGTCTGTCCAAGCTTCTACACCAGGTGAGCAGGATTTGAACCCTGTGAAACTGTCACCTAAAACATCTTTCCACTCCTAGACAATCCTCCCAGGTGTCTGGTTCGTAGCTATAAACCCCTTTCTAAGTTGCAGAAGAAGAAACAGGCAGGATCTTGAGAGACTGGACAAGCAGCTCTCCTCTGGAGAAGATATGAGGATATCTTAATCATGTAACTGTAACGATAAGTCTTTACTCCATCCGCCCAAGCCCCGCCACCACGTGGGCGCCCAGAATAACACACAGAGTCTTATACTAGTTTACAATGCTGCTGGCCAAATGACTAGGATTTCTTACTTGCTAGCTCAGTCTTAAGTTTCAACCATAAAAACTCATCTTATCGGACACCAGCTGCAGGTGTCTTCTCTTGCAGGGATCACATGGTGGCTCCATAGAGAAGAGAGCAGGAGGAAGAGGAAGAGCAAGAGAGAGCTATTTCCTGTTTATATTCTGAGTCTGACTGCTATGTCACTTCCTGCTTGGATCTTTACTACATTTCCCAGAATCCTCCTTGACACCTAGTCCCACCTATCTTGCTTTCCTATTGGCCAACAGTACTTTATCAACCAATAAGAGAATCACATACACAGAAGGACCTCCCCCATCATGTAACAGAGCCTTTTATTGTTGGTGGGCTTGAATATAACTGAGTAGCACTGAGTATGCTTTATTAAACACAGTTCATGTGCCATCCCACACCAGCTTGTCTCTCTGGCCTCTACATAGGATGCTCACCCATTTTTCTCATTTTACATCTCTGTTGGACCTAGCAAGTGCCTCCTGCATGCTGGCCTCTGGTCTTAGCACGTCACCCATCTCCTCACACTTCCAGGTGTTTTTAATATTTCCCAGAGGTATAGTTCTGGGCATCAGAATTCCATAAAACCACAGAAGCTCAGTGCTGATGGCAAGTATGAGTGGGGAGTTAATGCCATCTTCTCCATTGGCTACTGAGTGGGGACAGGAAGCCAGGAGGGACATGTGGGCTTCACTCTACTAATGAGAGACAATGGGCACTTTGTCCAGATATGCATCTTCTGTCTTTTTGCCAGCAGAACATCCACTCTGTCTTGATAGGAGCCATTGCCTGGGCTTCCTTGCAAAGCTGGTGTCAGCTCAGTAACAGATGCTCTTAGGCTTCATTTCTCCCCTCCCTGCCTCAGTTTTATTCCCACTCTTTTCTGGGTAAGGTGTTAGAACTTACACGTTACATTAAACTCTGAGTTCTCAGAACACCTTGGCTAAGGTGCCATGACTGAGTCTTGTTGAAGGTTGACTATGGGTTGAAGGTTAAAGGTAGACAGTAAAAAGTGATTGGTGGGTATATGATATTCTCTGGGAGGAGATTTTCACATTTGATTTTGAGGAGGATGAAGAGGATCAGAATTGGAGAGCTAAGTGAGGGTGAGGCAGGCAATCGAGAGGACACCCACACACCTTCTGAGATGGTGGCTAGAGGAGATTTGAAGGACCAACATGTGCAGCAGAGGTAAGGGTGTAGACACTGAGCACTTCCTAATTCAGGTACTCTGGCCATCCAGGCTCTGCCATGTGAAATGAGGTAGAAAGTTGCCTTTGCAGCTAAAGGTGGTGGTGTTAGTAAATGAAAGGCTTGGGCCAGCTTGCTGCTGTGTAAATTTTTTATACACAGATTTTTTACAGCCACATTTCTGGCAGACATGTAGGTGTGTTTCAACAGTGAACAGAACACCTTTTAGAGAATAAATCACCTGGTAGCATTTATTTGAATGTCCCTTGCCCTAAAACATTTTAACAACCCTGTCATTTATTTCTTCCAAATCATCTATCATTTATCCTCTCCTGGCTGAGGCCACATTTATCCACAGGCCTGGCTATGATAAGCCATCAGAGGTGACAGCACAGCAGTTCTGGGTCCAGAAGGGTCCATACTGCCTTGTTTAAGCTGTTTTCCGTTGTTGAACAGGAGATGCGTGTCACCAGAATTCCGTGGATCGTTAACAGGTGATGGAGAAGTGAGTCTAGAATTAGAGTGAAAGATGTGACAGATGAGAAAGAGGGAGCAGAGGAAGGAAGAGGAAAGACAGAGAAGAGAGGAGGGACAGACAGTGGAAAACGCAAGGAGTTCACAGAAGCAAGGAAGAGAGAAGAGAAAAGGGAAGAAAAAACAGAGAAGGAAGAAGACGGGACAAGAGTGGGGGAAGAAAAAGATAGGAGGGAGA